AAGAAACTCCAACCACCAGTCGCCTCACCTTCAACTAGAGAAAAATCTATCAAGAAAATACTATTGTTACCACCATGTGTTACTGCCATAAGTAGAGTCCCCTTATACTTACCATACAACCATGTTATGTCCATTTGAAGTATATGCTTGCAATATGAAAAACCTAGGATGCATAGTTAAAATGCCCAAATAGCTGGTGGAAGATTGATGCCCATCAACAATAGTATCTTCATATGTATATGCGGGTAATGCCCTTATTTCTACCACTATACCAAGAACATATTTCTTAAGTGCTAACAAGTAATGTGGAAGTTCATTGTATGAGTTCTCTGAGTTACCGTAAACCCATTCAATGGTTTTATTCCTTACAATCCATGTATTTCTATATGAGTGGGTGAATTTGTATTCATAAACAATTTGACTGATACAATTGCTCACGTTGGTTGATGGGTATTTGCCTACAAGAGGCATTAAACATTGGCACATCAAGTGTGAGCTAAGTTTTCGATGATCCTGCATAAGAATAGTTGTTGTACAACTATGTAGGGGATTCACAATGCTTATCTCCCACAAGTCACTTTTTTTCTATATGACACAAATAGATGAAACTTGCACAAAGTGTTAGTATAACATATTATATATCTCTTTTTATTGGAAGTTTCTAATTTATAATCAACACAATGTTTCATGTGATATCTCTTTAAGGAAAAAAAACATAATCATCGTTTGTTTTAAATTGGTTACCCACCACTAAGTCACCCTCTAATGGAAGATGGGGATTGCATATCCATTCAAAGGATGCTTGACCTGCACTTAAACACAAGTTTGCCATGCGGGGAGCAGACATAATACATTCTTAACTAGAATGTGTTGTTAATCTTTGTTAACTACTTCTGCTTTAACATAGTTTCCTTATCCAAACAAAGAATTAAAATAATGATCAGTTTGTGCCTCATTTTCTTCATCGTCTTCTTCTTCAACATCTTCGAGGAAAATTATAGCTGGAAATTCTTCTTTCGATGTATTGAATACTCGTGTCATCTGAGATTGTTTACACTGTTCAAATCTTATATATAAATAAATGTAATAAAACCTAGAAAATTCATGATTCACAAACATAATTTCAATATCTTCTTCGTCTCAGACATTTAATGGTGTAAATTTTACAAGGTTGTTTACAAAATGAGATGTTTTTTGGTAAATATTTTGTGAAATAATTCCATATTGAAGCTTCATTTATATCCTATCTTTTAAGTGTTGGAAGTTGAACTTTTTATTAATCATGAAATGACCAAATTTGGTATTTTGAAAGCTCCTGCCTATATCATCAGATGTATAAATCTCTCTATTGTGATAGCCATTAACTACATATTATTGAGAGTGAGACATGATATTTGAATGTGTTATTGAACAAGTGTTTTTGAGTGGTTATAGAGCAAGTGTTGTGGAACTAATGCATACAAGTGTTTCAGAAGTGTTTTGAGTTGCTTTAAAAATTATGGAGCAATGGCTACTTAAAAAACACTACATTTTTTTTTGTTTTTTCCACACTATTTCACGTGTTAATTCCTTGGTCAAATGGTAAAAAAAGTACACAATAGAATCGCCCCAATGAAAACACAGTTGTCATCCTTTTATACACGTTCGCCCAATAAAAATACGACCAATAGTATTTGCCATGGATGAGTTTTATCAATTCACATAGCATGCAAATATGAACCACTCAATGTTAAGGCGATTGTCAGTCAAAACAGAAAAGGATTGTCTGTTGCTTTTGAAATTGTCAACAACATTAAACAAAATTGCCCAATGTGTGTCCAGTATTCTCACGTAGACAACATGTATAGATTTTTATCTCTTTATTAAATGTCATTAATATATCATTAAAAACAAATATTTATACTTAGGTGCATGGAGGAGTATCACACAAGTCCAGTGTCAGACTAATGAAAATTTAGAAATTAGAAAGACCATTATAGACAAGAGTGTCTTTAATGAAAAAACAACCACGCTATAGTCTTACAAGGCTATATCATGCCCACAAAATATAAATTGAGTTATGAATACTTTGATCAGTTTCAAACTTGTATCTATCACATAATAGATTTATATTTAACCCTCATCTTAAAAATTCCAACACACCAAACCATCCAAAAGCACTTACATCCCAACACAATCACCTTGCACCACAAACACCCAACAACCTATCTTAAACACCTAATAACCTTTTAACCTAACCCAACACAACAACCTTACACCCTAAGCCAACACTACCAATAACAAAACCCATTGTTCCATTCAAGAACTAGAAATGGATGCAGTTGAAGATTGATAATCTTGAATGCATGCTCCAATTTCCTTTACGGAGGCGCGAGGTGGATCTGCATGGTTAGCACTCCAGCGCTCGAGTCAATTCAAGATTCAAGATGAGTATAGTAAAAATTGGATATCATAGATTGTACATTGTTCTTTGCATGTGAATTGGTTTTATACTTTGTGTCAAGTGGAGTGGATTTGAGATGGATTAGGCCTTGGTCAATTGGGCCTTTTAGCGGTCTAGAAAAGTAGCCCCCAAGGCTTTTTCTGCTCACGAAAGGTCTAGTCGAGCAACCAACCTTCTTTGGACATAGTAGGAAGGTCGGATGTAAACGGCGTTCTTTGAAAGAACCGACCTACTTATCTTATGTGGGAGGAGGTCGAACAACACACCCCTTCTAGTATTTCCTTTGGAACAATGATGCCAGTCGGGAGTGAGGGATTACATTCGTCTGGTCTTCTTGCGACTAGAATATGAAATGCCTTCTCTTTGATTGTATGGTCGGTAATTTCCCTTTTCTTTTGTTAACCCAACTCATGAGACTCAATAGTCAGCTTATCCAAGCCGGGAAATGCCATCTGTGGGATGTTGATTATGAGCATCTTCATCTAGAGCCCGACCCTGGTATAATTGTTGCGCTCACTTGAGAATCAATATTTGATCCCATACGCTTATATTCCTTAATCGATGCTCCTTTGTCAGCCATTCTTGTGAGAATCAGACCAAGTGATAAGGGAAACATCGATTTTGACTTGGAATAGGCCCATCAACCGTTCGAAGATCCTTTGAAACCCATAAAAAGTGCCTCGAAATTTGATACATGTATGATATTGACTATGAATTTATAATGTCTTTGGTGTCGTCGCAACAAGTATCACGTCAGTGGCGGGACACAAAGTGGTGTTAGATAGAAACATGAAGCATGATTCTTCAACGTTATCTTTGAGGAACTCACTTTCACTTTCCAGTGATTGCGATGTGAATCTGAATCTAGATCTAGGGTCATTTCTTATCATTCTTCGTGGAGTTCCCAAGGATAATAAGAGATTTGGAGACTTGGAAAATCGTTGATGAAATGATAATTATTTGAATTGAATGCGATGGGTTATCATATTTGACTTTGAATGCCCTTGATTCGATGACCTAAAGAGGTTACAAAGTAGCAAATCAGAGATTAAATATGAAATCGTAAGAATCTAGATCTAGAACTTCTATGTTTGCACAATGAGGTTTGAGAAAGACGTGAATTCCTGGAAATCGTAGGAATCAAAAGTCGTTTCCCATCGGCTGCGATACTGTTATGTCCGAGAACTAGAAATGGATGCAGTTTGAAAACTAATAATCTTGAACGACAACTTCAATCTCCTTACAGCGGCGTGGGGTGGACCTGTATGGTTAGTACTCTAACGCTTAAGTCAATTCAAGATTCAAGACGAGTATAATGAAAATTGGAGATCAAAGATTGTACTTTGTTCTTGGTGTGTGAACTAATTTTATACTTTGGGTCAAGTGATGTGGATTTGAGATGGATTAAACTTTGGCCAATTGGGCCTTTGGCCGGTCTAGAACACCCACCATTTAACCCAACCACCTACAACACCCAACAACAAAACCCACAATTTATCCCCTTAACATCATACACCCATCAAGAAACACCACCCCCACCCACTATAACTCATACTCATTCACACAACCTACCTCTCAAGAATACAACAACTTCCAAACACCTAAACCACAAATATTTTTTTCCCATCATAAACGTTCACCCCGAATTCATCCAAAGACCAACAAAGATACATCTCATACATCCAAAACTCAACGCCAATTACTACCTAACCGAACTAGAATTACGAAGGGGAAACACATTAACTTATGGCAATACGATGATGGAGTTAACTTATAACATGGTCGCTAACCTCATGACTACTTGCCACGATCAGATCAAAATCAATGCTAGATATTTGTTTAATATAATTTCATTATTATTAAATAAATATTGTTTTGACTAATATTTTATTAATATATTATTACTTTATTTATTAATTAAATATTACTTTAGTTATAAAAATATTTTTGTATTTTATTTCTAAAAAATTAATTATAATCAATTATAATTAATCAAAAATCAATATTACATTATGATATTTAAAAATAAAATCAGTTATAATTAAAAATAATAATAAAATATCTTTCAAAAGGTCTTCAAATGCATAGGACGGACCGTTTAAAACTTTTAAACTCAGTCTCCAAAGTAGTATTGGGTGGCACCTCAAAACTTTTCAAAAACAACCTCTAAAACATTGGTCAGTTGCCTTAGACCAACTTTTTTTTTTTCTTTTAAAAACATAGTAATTTATAGTATGAAAAAAGTGGTAATTTGGTATTTAAGTTGGAAAAATGTGGTAGGTTAGTAAGAGATTAGGTTTTTTTTTTATCAGTCATGCAGATTCCCTGCGGTTGGAACCATCTAGAGAAGCAATAGGAACCGTCGATCTTAATCAATGAAATGATTTTGATGAAACAGCACAGATTATGTCACCGTACATGATTGCGACTGCAGATACTGATTCCAAAACGCGTCATTGAGTCATAGTGACTCATTTATACTCTTCAGTTTCTTTACTTAATTTACCCATTCATATTTTCGAAATTTCAAACTCGCAGCACAGAAGCTCACGAAATCATGTATCAACCAACCAGCAGCAACAGCAGCAACCAGGTCAGTTTCTCTCTGCATATTTCTCTATTCTCGCGTCTCGCTTACGAATTTTTCAGCTACAATCGCCTTCGTATTTTACTGTCATTTTTCTTCATCAACTTTTTCGCTTCAAAATCTTAATGCTTTCAATTGCAGAAATTTGTTTGGAAATAGTGATTTTAATTACTCTCTTGTAATTTACTTTAAGGTCTCTATAGATATTCTTCGCATTTGGTAATAGATTCAAGAGAATCATCGCTAAATTCCCTCATATAACCTAACCTACATTTATTCCGCTTGCATTGTAACTACTATGTGATTTTGCATGTTAGAGATGGCTCTTTTATGAAATAAATTTGGTTTCTAGTGTTATTCATTATGCTTGGTTAAGAAATTGCAAAGAAAAATTATGCTCCCTAAAATGCATTTTGGATCTCTGGTCAAGAAGTTAGAGACTATTTCCCGTGTGCAAGCATTATCTGTAGATATAATGTGTGTGAAATGAATAAGTTCTTCTTGTGCAGAATTTGGTTCATACCATGCCGGTGTCTCTCCAAGGGAACTCAGCATCAGTGCCAGTGGATCTGAGTGAAAGCTCCATGGACACAAACAACAATGTGCAAAATGGAGAATTTATAAAAGCTGAAAATATCATCAAGCACTCCCAGGTTGGTTATAATTTATATTGTTTTTATAAGCAGAACAGGTTGCTTCTCTGTACTGCATGCGTGTTTGATATAATATATAGACATACTGATTTAAGTTTCTGGATTTCAAATGAGTGATGATGATTTTTAGAATATTAACTTACACCTAAGTAATATTTTTAGAAACTACAAGGGGATCTTCATACTTTTGGGATGAAAATTAAGCAGCATGAGGACAGATTGAGTCATTTGAACGCGGAAAAAATCAAATTAGAAGACTCCATTATTCATTTGCAAGGTAAATTTGTTTGTACTTGTTTTGGCAACTGGATAAGAAGCTGCTTTTCATGAAAAATATTGACAACCTAGTTCTGTAAAGTGCATTCACCGAATCAATGGTCTAAGCTTTCCTTATTATGAAGGTTGCATGAGATTTGTCGGTTTATTTATACAATAATATTTTGATTATAAAGTTTATGTGGTTCTGAAACTTGAGATCATCCCCAATAGCAAGAGATATTGAAAATTCTTAGAACAGTAGGTCAATCAGCTTTGGAGGCTGAGATTTGCCAACCCCCAATTCTAGGACGGGGCATTGTTAATATGTTTCGGGAATACATAGACTGAACATTGTAGTGCATATCAAGGATAAGGAGGCAATAAACTTCAAATTGGTCACCCTTCATTTTTTTAAAAAATGGAATTTCCTTTCGTAAAATATTTCTGTATAGCTCTCTATCTATCAACAAAAAGGTGTCTTATGTTTTTCCTTATCCATAGGTGCTATTGGGAAATCAAAGTCTTCAAGCACTAATGGAGAGGATACCCGCAACACAATTGAGGAGGAGGTACATAAACAGATATTGCAGCATGAAAAATCTGCTGCTGGTGTTTTGTGCCAGCTCAAGACTCGTCATGGAGGGCATGCTTCTTTTCTTACACTAACAAAGGATGTTTTAGGTATTGTTCCTATGCTGGGAAGAGTTGAGGATGACAATCTCAGCAGGTACATTTTGTATGAATGTTTTCTTTTTTGCTTGTGAAATCATGTGCACTTGTTTCAATCTTGGAATAGTTTGTATGTTTCTTTGGTCTATATCACATTATCTTTAAGCAAGATAAAAAATAATTTATTTTTTGCTTTGTTAATATCTATGAAATGTAAGCATACATGAGTATAGTTTTCACTCAACTTATTTGGAATGCAGACTTTTCTCAGAGTATCTTGGAGTGGAGACTATGTTGGCAATTGTTTGTAAAACTTATGAAGGAGTTAAAGCTATTGAAATGTATGACATGGAAGGCTGCATAAATAAAAGTAGCGGTCTTCATGGGCTAGGTGCAACTATTGGAAGGCCTTTGGACGGTCGGTTTTTAGTCATATGTCTTGAATCTCTAAGGTACGATTACAAGAATCCGGTTTGTCTTTTATTTGTGGTTGTGGATAAATCTGTGTTTTAAACCTTTTTTTCTTTTGTTTTAGGCCTTATGCTGGTAAATACGTGGTTGATGATCCACACAGGAAGTTGGACATTTTAAACCCAAGATTGCCCAATGGGGAGTTTCCAGCTGGATTTCTTGGGTTTGCTGTGAATATGATTAATATAGACACCGAGAACCTGTTTTGTGTAACTCCAAGTGGTTTTGGCCTCAGAGAAACTCTGTTTTACAATCTCTTTTCTCGTCTACAAGTATATAAGACTAGAGCTGAAATGATACAAGCACTTCCTTGCATAACTGACGGAGCTCTTTCTTTAGATGGAGGAATGATTAGGAGTTATGGTGTATATTCCTTGGGTAATAGGTAAGAATATGAAAATACAATTTACTTATAAATTATAAATTAACCCATTTTTCGTATCTTTTGAAAATTATGATAGGCTAAAAACTTTTCCCATCTTGGGAGTCGAATTAACTTGAGTGTTTCCTTTTTTCAAGAGGGAGTATATTAATGGGTGAATCTTTCTTGAAATTAGATATCCTGTAGATATCTTTTCATTTATCTCTGAAGAGGTGAATATATTAATGCGTGAATCTTTCTTGAATCTATATTATCCTTTTTACAAATTAAAACACAGCAGGTGGTTTTGCTAGGTTAACTGCATTTATCCTGGAGAAATCCTTTTTAAAATTTAAGCGTCATTTTAGAAACATCAAACTGCTGTGTGTTTTAATTTGTTTCCAGAAGAGTACAATCATCAAATGTGTGAACTGAAAAAAACTAACTGTTATGGCCTGCAGGGAAGATGTTAATATAAGATTCCCCAGACCAGAAAGATCAGCTGGGCTTGATGAGCAGGTTGAAATTGAGAGGCAAATGAAGGACGCCCAGTGGAAGAAGGAAAAAATTTTGGACGATATAAAAAGGGAAATGACATTGTTGGACATAGCAAAGCACAATTTCAACAAAAAGAAGAGTGATTTTCTGAAGTATTTGGCTTCAAGTTCATCATATGCAATCCAGGTAATCTTTCTGGATATTTGAATTTAAATCCTAGTTGATTTATAAATTATTGAGTGTAGTTTGGTAATTTATTATTTATATGTTGTTTCAACCTTATCTAAGTTGTTATTATGTTAGAACATTTTAAATGATCTCTTTAGGGGATCTTTCCCGTAAACTTACTTCAGATTGTGATACAACAGCACTATATCACCATTGCTAAATGATTGTTTAAAGCTTCCGGCTTTCCAGTAAATCTTCAGTAAATCTTGAAATGTAATCTAATTCACGATGCTAATATTTTCTTTCATCTAATGAAACCACTAGGTTCAGAATGCAGTTCAGAATGCTCCTTCGGTACCTCGATGATGAAACTAAGATAGATGGGAAAGCTATGAAGGACATAGAAGATGTTTACCCAAATGTATATGACAACTGTTTTTTGGGTTCCTCTAATTGTTTCTGCTAGACCAACATAGATATTTTCCTGGGGAGCCGGTAAATACTTCTGCTCTGAAAAAGGTTGTGATAAGAAACAATCAATTTTTCGTGCTCTTGCTACATAGATATTTTTCTTGCTACATAGATATTTTTCTTGATGTTAGGCTCTTTGACCATTATTGTAGCTCACTATATATATATGCTATGTACTCCGGATCACAACTGTCATTGTTCGCTTGTGTAGTCCTTCTATCCAAAAGCCTATTAAATTCCCTCATTTTTATGGGATAAGTTTCTCTCCATTTTTTTGTCTCTCCATTTTCTTCAATACTATAGTTTTGTGTGTAAATAACACACATTTCTAAGACATGTGACATATGATTAATATTTAGTTGATTTTATATACAGCAAAATTATAGTAATTGAGAGATAAAGAAATGGAGAGGATCTTATCCTCATTTTTATGGCCCCTTTTCTTTATTTAGTTGGCATAGACCCAAATAATTTCTTAAAATTTTGATGGTGCACCATCAAGAATAGTTGGGATAGCTCAGCCGATAGAGAGGACTGAAAATCCTCGTGTCACCATTCAAAGTTGTATTTCTATGGTTAATTTGATACAAGTATCTTTTAGTTTTAAATATTTTATGACAAGATAGATATACTTTTGGAGTTAAAATACAAGTTTGATTGGAGTTAATTATTATTATTTTTTCAATAAATATTACCTTGCTAATTTTTTTTTGTAGAACTAAATTTTACATGAATTTTAGTGAGAATAAAAACATTTTTGTTTTAAATAATTTTTAAACAGATATTTATTAAACAGAAATTTTATTTTAAATATTTAAAACGCTTTTACTAATTTTTATCCTTTTAAGAGCCTCTCTTATGTGAGTATATGCCTTTAACAATAAAATGTCTCACATGAAATTAAATCAAAACAAATATTACAAATCCATTTTATTATTTGGGAGTATATGCCTTTAACAATAAAATGTCTCACATGAGATTAAATCAAAACAAATATTACAAATCCATTTTATTATTTGGGAGTATATGCCTTTAACAATAAAATGTGTCACAAGAGATTAAATCAAAACAAATATTACAAATCCATTTTATTATTTGGGAGTATATGCCTTTAACAATAAAATGTGTCACATGAGATTAAATCAAAACAAATATTACAAATCCATTTTATTATTTGGGGGCACTTTTGTTAGTTTGACAAAATAACAACTAATTAGGACATGTTTGAATTTTCGGTGGTGGAAAAATAGTGGGCGTGCCTTTGGATTAAAAGTATACACTATACACCTAATTTATTTTATTTTGACAGAAGGATAATTAGTTTATTCTAACCCTCAAATTTAGAATGAAAATTGAAGTGTAGTTTTTCTTTTTTATTTTAACGGGTATCCAAACCTACGCTTAATTTATTTTGACAAAAGAACAACTAATTAGTTTATTCTAACCCTCAAATTTAGAACAATTTATTTTGACAAAAGAACAATATCGCAATTTGAATAGTGTGATTTCAGTCACATAAAAAATAGTTTCACAAAAGTTTTATTTACTTAAACTCATGAACTTTTTTTTTTCATTTTTTAATATCAAAGAGTTTGCTCTCACCATTAGTTGTGAAGAACTACCATTTAAAAACTCAAAATTATTTTTCAAAAATTTATACGCCACATTCATTTATAAGTGAATTACACCTCCATTTTGTCATAAGTAAATATGGACCCATTTTTATAACAATCTTTAGAGAGTGTACTGATATAATAAGTATCCTGATGTAATAAGCCATTTATAATAAGTACTCTTTCCTTTTTTTTTATAAATAAATTTTAACTTTCCTAGATTAATTCAATAAATAGTATATTTGAATTATATATAAATTATATGTATTAATCACTTAATGAATTTAAAATGTTAAAATTTACTTATAAATAAGAATGGAGAGAAATAAGAACGGAGAGAGTATATTATAATAATTTATGTGTGTGTTCTAAGAGGCCAAAAACCTAAAACAGAAAAATACTCAAATCAACCCATGTTTATAATGTCTCTTGACAATGCATTAAGCATAAAATCAAGGCAATGACTAAATTCTAAACTTCCACCATAGAGATTCAGACTAAACTTTGCCAAAGTATCAACACTTTTATTAGTTTCCTGATGAATTTTCAACATTTTTTAATACCAAAGTTGGTGGCAAGTTATAACCCATAAAGATTGCCAATTCTCCTAATTTATTCCTAGATTCATCTGCAACTTAAGATTCAACCAATCTAACGAATTAAAATCGAAGAAGGGGTTTCTGGAAGTTATTGATAACATTTGCATCCAGATTGGCTTCGCTTGTCTACAGTCCCTCATATCATGAAGGATGAACTCTTCCTCGTCAGTGCAATCATTACAATATGGATCCTTTAGTTTGAGATGACTAAGGTATATGTTAGTATTGATTCCACTGTGATGGAGCATCCAAATAAAACTTTGAATTCTTTCAGGGACTCTCAACTTCCAAATGTGTTTCCATTCTGCATAGTTTGTACATGCAATATGATTAAAAGCATTGAATATTCTAAAATATCCTGAGTTAGTTCCTTCCTAAGTGCATTTGTCAGAGTCATTGTTATCCAAGCTAGGAGGTTCTATCGCTCGAATTCGTTCTGCTATATCCTAAGGGAGAATACTTCTCAATAGCATATAGTTCTAGTTCCCATTGTTTGACATGATGGTTGGCAGAGGCATGTTCCATATTATCAATTGGACTAGTCATGAATTCATTGAGTCTAATTCTTGAATCAATCCAGCAATCTGGCCAAACTTTGATTGTTTGAACATTTTCCACTTCCATCTAATGGTATGCATTTTATTCTCATATTTACTATGATCCCGTATAAAATTCCTTTGAATCTTTTGAATTTCCTTCAAAAAAAGTGGTGGGCACTTTGATACACTTGGATTTTTCAACTACTAGAAAGTCAATAGAGAATGTCAATGAAAAGACGTTTAATGTGAAAAAACATTAATGAAGTGTCTTTAAAAGAACATTAATGATAAGTTTTCAATAGACCAATGACGAAGGGTCGACCGATCTATCGACACAACAAGACGTGGTTTGGAGAACTCTTGGGGATAAATCTCCAAAACTCAGATCTTTGGAAAATATGTCCAAAATCTTGAAAAGGACGGTTGAAGGAAGCCTTTTTTTCATAAATAGGGTCGGTCGACTAAACTACGTGATATAAAAGACTTAGTAAATTTACAAGTTCTGGGTCCTTGATAGGCAGTGCCACAACACATTGGAGTAGTTATCGTCGAGGGTTCGTAAAGAAGTGGAAAGCAGTTCTCACTCAACGCGGGTTGCAATTCGACAGCGTATTAGAAGACATGTAAGCACACTAGTGAAAACTTGAAGGTTCAAGTTGAAGTAAACACAGTAGTCCCGTAGTGATCATAACCGTTGTCGATGGTTACTTTGTAAACAGAATAAATAACAGACTCATACATGGAATTATGGGTCGCAAAATTTCCTACATACTCTCCATGCCACTTGAGTACCTGAGTAAAAGAGCAAAATCGTTGAGCAAGAAACATGTATGCGTCTGCGTCCATCCTTTTTTCTTAGTTTTTTTTGTTAGGTTGTTTGTATTGTGATTGACATCATTTTGTTAAAATAAGTGAAATAACAAGATTTTGAACAAGATGTATTGACAAGCTTGTACGACATCGTGGCGTGCCGTGGTTTTACATTTTTGAAAGATTTGTTTTTAATCGTGAGACCTCTGAAGATTCTTTGAAGATATGATTCACGTATATTACAGTACAAGAAGTGTGTGTTTCTAGAAGTACCAAATGTCAGTTCCAGCTATACAATGTTTCCTAAGAATGTTTGTCAAACATTTAAGGAAACATTTGATTTTGTTCCGAAAATTACACAGAACTTTGTGCAGCAGTCTGTTTTAGATTTGTTGTGTGTTTGTTTCTTTAGCCTGAAGCCCATGTGCAGCGAGAAAAATTTGAGATTAAACTATTGATTAACTTAACTCATAAAGCAAGAACCGCCACCACACTTTATTGTTTCCAAAGAAAATGGAAAAAGAGCGAATAAAACTTACAGAAGTTTTAGAACAAAACTAATAAAATAGAGAGACAAAGGGCAAGGGGGTTGGTTATGCAATGGGAAGGTGTTAGCATCCAAAACATCTATAGTACTATATAAGAATCTCTTGAAAATCTATGTTTGCCTTAAAAAGGTGTTGTTTGCAAAAGATTGAAGAGATGAGAAGAGAAATGTTTTTTAGGTTTTTGGTGTTTGACAAGACTTTCCGAGCCTCGTACCTACGTACCCGCAAAGTGTAATAGAGGATCAAAACCTCGTAGTTCATGTTAAAAATAACAAAAGAGATTTGTTTTGATTTATTTTAAATGGAAATACAACTTGTTATGTTAAGGAGAAAACTCATCTATTCACCCACAAGTATATGAAAATGTACTTTTGCATCATTATTAAGAAGGGCTCCAACTTGGATAGAAATCAACAAGTATGCCACTAACTCTATCAAGTAGAAAAGAATCAACACCAAACATTACTATGAGGATAGGAGAATCACATCTCAACTATGAAAATAACTCATGTCTAATCCTTGAGAAAAGTTTCAAAAGAAAAAGTGCACAAAGGGTACAAAATAATTTGAACGAGTTGTGTTTTTTTTATGTCTTCAATACTCTAAAGAAGAAGAAGAGGAGAGGCATCAAAGAAAAGGAAAAGATGAAAAGGAAAATATAGATGGTTAAAATTTAGAGTACGACATCTTCAATACTCTAAAGAAGAAGATGAAGAGAGGCATCAGAGAAAAACATGTAAGAATACTCTTACAATGAAGAAGATGAAATATGCTTAAAGGCATCAT